GTTCATTATTCATTATTCATTATTCATTATTCATTATTCATTATCCATTATTCATTATTCATTGTTGATTGTTGATTGTTGATATTATTAACAGTAAAATTAATAATAATATCAATAATAATAAAAACACCAATAGCAACAAATAACAACAACAATAATAATAAAAACATCAATAAACAAGTGATAATTAATTATTATAGTATTCATTATTGACATTATTAGTAATATTATTAGTAAAACCACCAATAGCAACAAATGATATTTAATTATTATATTATTCCCTTATTAAAATCTGTACAATGCACACGATTACAGTAAGTAATTGATACGGCCATCCTCCTCCTCCTCCTCCTCACCTGTGTCCCCCCTCCCCTCCCCGGCAGGAAAATGAGCGAGGCCCCCCACCCTCCGGGCTCCCCTCGCCTGGACGCCCTCTCTAGGCACGTCCTGGAGGCCTTCACCTCCTTCGGCCTGGACCACAGCTGGACCGATAGCCACTACGTGGGGCTGCAGCGTCCCGACCGGTCAGTACGGCTGAGGCTGGGGGTTACTGGGAGGGGGGGGGACAGGGCCCAAAAGGGGGGGGCTTCTAATCCTTCCTGCACCCCCTTTGTTCCAGGGGGCGACCCAACTTCCTCCAGCGGGTGGAGGCCGGTGGGGCTGTGATAGAGGACCTGCAGCTGGAGGATCCAGATGTTTACTGCCCCTACAGCACCTCTGGCACGGTCGTGGTAATGCCCGCTGCTCTGCCCACTGGGCAATGCTCCCTTCAAGCCCGCAGACACAGACAGGGCCCATTTGGGGTACAGGCCCAGAGACTCGGGGGTACAAATCCTCTCCAGTCCCCCCCAGTCTCGATGGTGGGGGGCTTTCCGTCCTGGTCCGGAGCAGGTGGGGGGGTGGCTCCAAACTCGGCCACTTTAAGGCTTCTGGACTTCAACTCCCAGAATTCCCAGGAGTCCATCAAGGAATTCTGGGAATTGAGGTCCACAGGTTGTAAACTTAGCATGCGGTGGGTCCTCAGATTACGACACCACAGTGGCGCTCGACATTTCTGGAGCTAAGCTAGACAGTTGTTAAGTGAATTTCGCCCCATTTTAGGACCATTCTCGTCACGTGAATCACTGCCGTTTTTAATAAAACGGTCGTTGAGTGAGTCTGGTTGTCCCCATTGTCAGAAGGTCACAAAAGGGGACCGTGGGACCCCAGGGGAGCGCAGCGGTCATAACTATGAGTCAATCGCCTGCATTTTGATCCCGTGACCATGGGGGTGTGTGCTGCGATGGTCGTAAGTGTGAAAAACGGTCACAAGTCCCTGTTTTCAGTGCACGGACACTAAATGGATCGTCGTCGCAAGTCGGCCTGTCGTTGCCCATCCCTGAGTCAGTGGAGGAATGAGAAATACAAAGGGGGGGGGGGGTTAAGATAGACTTCATCCAGGGCTGGAAGCTCTTACTTTGGGGAGGGATTTCTCCCACTCCTCCCCCCCCCCATTTGAAGAGTCTCCCCTTCCTCTAAGCCTCGATCCCCCCTCCCCCCCCTCAGGGCGGTCTCGTCTATGCCAACTACGGGCGTAGGGAGGACTTTGGGATGCTGGAGCAGATGGGGCTGAGCGCGCAGGGACACCTGGTCATCGTCCGCGTTGGGAAAAACAGCTACGCCGAAAAGGTGAGCCGGGCTGCACCACCCCACCCCCCGTATCATCCTCATCGTCATTTAACGAGCCCATCATTTAACGAGCCCATCATCCCTTGCGTCAGGGTGGAATCTGGGCAACTGAATGGAACTGGACGTTTATTGGCCGGATGCCCTTCCCTGTCGCCAGGGCGGAGTTTTATTCGGCAGATATATATTCTCATTGTGCCCGGAGAGAGAAATATATCGGCCTCTACCTAGGCTCAAACTCACAGCCTCCTGATTGTGAGGTCCATCTCTAGGCCACCGCACCACTCCCTGTTTGGATAATTAAAATCATCATCTTCATTTAACGAGCCCATAATCCCTTGCGAGGTCAAGTCTGGGCAACTGAATGAAGCTAGCAGAGGGTTTTACTGGCCGGATGCCTTTCCCTGTCGCCAGGGGAGAGTTTTGTTCAGCAGATCTATGGTGAACAAATGGTGCCGAGAGAGAGTGAAATATCTGCCTCTATCTAGGATTGAACTCACAGCCTCCTGATTGGGAGGCGAGAGCTCCATCTCTAGGCCACTGCACCGCTTTACCAACCCCCCCCCACCTGCCCACCTTAATCCCGGGCAGAAAGATTCCGGCTACGGCTGCTGTTTGTGGGCACCGCGGGAAGGTTGACCTGTCGGGTGATGGGGGGCAGATGAGGTTTCCGGGCTCCGGAGGTGCAGCTGTGCAGAGGGGGCAGGACGGGTGGCCTCTCGCAATTGGGGAGGGGGGGGGACGCATCCAAGGGGGCTCGGTTGGGAACAGACTCGGGGGGCGGGCTTTGAGGAAGGGAGGGGCGGTCGTGAAAGGGCAAGGGTCATTCTGAGCACTTTCTCCTCCCCACCCCCCAGGTGGCCAACGCAGAGGCCAGCCAGGCAAAGGGCATCCTCATCTACCCGGACCCCAGCGACATCCCCCAGGACCCCCGTAAACTGGGCCTTTTCCCTAACGTCAGCATTTACGGGCATGTGAGTAGATTTCGGGGGGGGGTGGGGGGAGGTCAGCAGCAGCTGTTAAACCTGCCCCCTCCCCGTTTTGCATTTTGCTACCTCCCGATGCGCTGAGCAGAGAGCTACCTGCTCCGAGGTAGACTGCCTTGATCCAGGGAGGCTCCGCGTGGCTTTTTCCCAGCTCAGCGTGCCCCCCCCTTTTTCCTTCCCGCCTTGCAGGTCCACATGGGGGCGGGGGACCCTTACAGCCCCGGCTTCCCGTCCTTCAACCACACCCAGTTCCCCCCCGTAAGATCCTCGGGGCTCCCCACGATACCGGCTCACCCCATCAGCGCCGCCGTGGCTGCCCGCCTGCTCAGGTGTGTAGCTGGAGGTGGTTTTTTTTGGGGGGGGGGGGTTGGCAGCGTTGAGTGGGACACAAGATGGGAACGGGGGGGGGGGGAGCTGTGCCCATCCTTCAGACGGCGCATGTTTGTTCCTGATTCCCTTTGCAGGCAGCTGACGGGACCCCCGGCCCCCTCGACCTGGAGGGGGCTCCTTCCAGAGGTCCCCTACCTGCTGGGCCCCGGGGACCCCAGTTTCCACCTGAAGCTTGGGGTGTACAGCGTCCGGCAGTCGGTTATGATCAACAATGTCTTTGGCTGCATCGAGGGCAAATTCGAACCCGGTACGGCGGGCACGGAGGCGCGGCGAGGAAGAGAGAAGGGAGTTTTGGGGGTTCCTGCAGATGAGACTGATCTCTTGTGATCCCCTAGATCACTATCTGATTGTGGGGGCCCAGAGGGACTCCCTGGGGCCCGGAGCTGCCCGGTCCGGAGTGGGCACAGCCATCTTGCTCGAACTGGCACGGACTTTCGTTGCCATGGTGCAGAACGGTAAGACCAGGACGGACGCGCATGGGGATGGGGGTGGGTGGGTCACTTCATAAGACCCCCNCAACTGGAGATGCCTCCCAGTCACACCATTCCAGGTGCAGGGCAAGATGTCCTTGACTCTCTGAGAAAGGAATGTTATTTAGACTATATATCTCCCATACTCCATATAATTCCCCCTCCTGTTTTCCCACAGTAGAAACATGTGGCAGGCCTAAAGGCCCCATGTAAAAGATGGCTTCCAGGCCTGACACTCTATCCAAAATGTTTTTTTAACCCTTCCTACATTCACTGGGGAATGGGTAAAAATCTCTTGTCTCGGGCGCCGATGGAAGTTACATTACCACTCCTCTGATGCAGCTAATTTTGGAGGGAGAGATTCAGTTTACCCTAGACAATATCTAACTGAGCCTAGAATCAAACTCTCTGAGTTAATTAGATGGATCAAATTATCTGGAGAGTTTATGGGATCCATTTTGCACTCAAGCAAAACATGAAAAAGGACCCATCACTGTGGATGTCTGCAGGGGAAGTCTATGCATGCATAACTAGGTGTCTGCAGGCAATTATGCAATGAATTCTAGAACAAGTTGCTGGTACCTTTTTGCATTCTAAATATCTGGTTGGAAATAGGACCCTCTGCCATTCCTATTACTTTTCATATTAAAAGGTAAAGGTTCCCCTCGCACATATGTGCTTGTCATTTCTGACTCTAGGGGGCAATGCTCATCCCCATTTCAAAGCTGAAGAGCCAGTGCTGTCTGAAGACATCTCCATGGTCATGTGGCTGGCATGACTAAACACCGAAGCTGCACAAAATTCTGTTACCTTCCCACCAAAGGTGTTTCCTATTTTTCTACTTACATTTTTTAAATGCTTTCGAAATGCTAGGTTGGCAGAAGCTGGGACAAGTAACGGGAACTCACTCTGTTACGCGGAGCCAGGGATTTGGACCACTGAACTGCAGACCTTCTGATCAAGTAACTCAACATCTTAGCTACTGAGCCACTACGTCCCCTTCCTCAAATTACTAGCAAATGAAACATTAAATAGATGTAAATCCCACTGAATACATTTGAGCTTCTTTTTTCTGTAGACACTCATCCAATCGAGAGTTGCAAGCATCCCTTCCTCAAAATAATAATAATAATAATAGTAATAACAACAACAACAACAACTTGCATCAAGTTGTCTATGGAGATTCTCAGTCATCGAGGTCATGGTTGTCCCAAAGGTGCTTTTTAAAGAGGCAACTGGACTTTCTGGTTTTTCTTCGAAGATGTTTTGCTTCTCATCTAAGAAGCTTCTTCAGCTCTGACTGGATGGTGAGGTGTTCTGACCCCCCTCGTCCCACACCAACGCACGCCGAGCCAAAGATACTTTAAGGAATTTATTAACAGACAGACAAGCCTTGGCAGCAATCCAGCACAGATAAGCCTTGGCAGCAATCCAGCACAGACAAGCCTTGGCAGCAATCCAGCCTGCCAAGCTAGCCACAAAAGTTATCCAACTTTTAGTCAATGTGTTGACTCCTGCAACGGGGCGTGTGCACAAACATTCCTCTTATAATTCTGGAGAGGAGCCTAATTACCACTAGCTGAGTGCAATTATCTCCTGTAACTGCACAACTGTTCCTTACGCCTATCAGCTCTTCTGTGCCGGGCATCCAGGAACAACTCACTGCTGACGTCCGGATCACACTCCCTTGTCTCCTCCCCACTAGTCCAAGGCTCAGGCACCTCCTGGTGGCCAACCAGCCTCTCTGTGTCCTGCTCGGAGTCGGAACCCTGTCCAGGGTCCTCCACATCCTCCAGAGCTGACTTGTAGGACCCCTCACTGTTAGAGTCTGGTGGCAGCTCCAATGGCTCCTACTGGGCCACCACAGTGAGGAATGGGAGGATTTACACTCCTTGCAGACAGCTAGTCATTTGAATCCTTTTACAATCATTGAGGCCACTTGGAGGTTTATCTGTGACCTCAGGGTCAACTGAGCAGTGCAAATGAGTGTGGAGCCTTCTTGGAACTGCGAAAT